CCCCCCCCGCCCCTCCCACCGCCACATGCCGAGCGCCGGTCACTGACGTTCCGCACCCTCGAAATCTGCCGGCGGCCCGGCGGCCCATGCGCGCGCAGCCCTGCTCACGCGAGCCCTCTGGCCCCGGCTGGACATGCATGCACGCGGCGGGGTGCTGGACATGTGCGCCGAGGCCCAGCGCACCGGGCTGGACTACCGGGCCCGCAAGTCGGACACCTGCCAAAATAGCACCACCTGCCTGGAGGACTGCGCGGTGTACACCTACCTGGAGGCGGTGTGCGACCGCGGCACGGACCAATGCTTCCTGGAGATGGCGGCCGTGCACACGCGCTGTCCCCCGGGCACCGGGGCCCGGGATCTGATGGACTCGGTGTCCTACGATTGCCAGGCCACGGTGGTGGTGCCGGATGAGTGGGACTCCGGCAGCGGCAGCGCCCTGCCCCCGGGGCCGCACCCCCGGCCGACCGATCCCCAGCCGAACCGCCTCTGCCCCGAGGGGACCCCCACCACCGAGGAGGACCTGCTGCGGTTCTGCACCTCGGCCGAGGACGACTGCTCCAAAATCTGCGCCTCCGTCAAGAGCGACTACCACTATTGCACCGAGCCGACGCTGGCCCGGTGCCAGGAGCGCATGCTCCACTACATCGACCGGTGCCAGGAGGCCAGCCCCGACTCGTATGCCACCAGCATGAAGGACTTCTGCAATGGGGCCGGCGGGCCTGGCGGCCTGGCCGCCGGCCGGCCGGCTCTCCTGCTGGGCCTCCTGGCCAGCGCCCTTGCGATGGGGCTGCTGCTGGTCGGGTGATGCCGGGCTGGCGCCGCCGCCGCCGCCCGGGCCCGGGTGACGGCGAGCGGGCGCAGGGGACAGGCGCATGGCCACGTGCGCGCCGGTGCCCCTGGTCCCCGGTGTCCCGCGGGAGAAGGGGAGAGCGAGCGGGCGAGCGAACGAGTGAGAGAGAGAGAGGGAGAGAGAGAAAAAGAGAAATAGAGCGAAAGTGGGTGCCTCGGAAAAGGGCAGGCCTTTTTCTTGAGGCGGTGGCCGGGGCCCGAAGACGCTGACCCTCGGGCCCCGGCGCCCGGGCCCCCCCCTCCCCGCCCCTTCCCGCGGAGCCGCGCAGACTCGCGAGGAAATAAAAAAGCAACACGCACAGCAAGATCGGGGCCGTCCGGTGGCACTTCATCCATGGTCGGCGGGGCCGCCCGGGGCACGGTTTGGTTGGGTGGGATCGAACGGGGGGGGGGGGGGCGGGCAGGCCGCGGGTGCGGGGTGCTCTCTTGCTGAGGGGCGCCCCTTTTCGGCCGGCCTGCTCGAACCAGGCGCCAGGGCACGCCGCACACCGTGCTCCTCCCCTTGTCCCCTTTCTTGCGCCTTCTCCCGCCTCGCTCCCAGACCGGGGCCCCTATTTCACACACACACACGCACACGCACACGCACACACGCACACACGCACACACGCACACACGCACACGGATGCTCACCGCGTGTGGTCGCGCCGCAGTGGCCGGCGTCCGAGCCGGCCGCCTCGCCCGGATAGCCACCCCCCCGGGCGTCCGGTGGGCATGTAGCGGCCCGGGCCGGGCCTCGGTGGCCTCGATGGCCTCGGTGCCGGCCCACCGCGGGGAGTCGCTGGTGCAGGACATCCAGGCCGGCCGGGCGCCCCTGCCCCGGGGGTTTGACAGTGCCCGGGACTTCTGGGTGTTCTTGCGCCTGGCCGGGCTGTCGCATCCCAGCCTGCCGGCCAACCATGTGGCCCGGCTGCTGGGGCTGGACCGGGCCTCGACCGAGGTGCTGCTGTCGCGGTATGCCCATGACTTCGGCATCCCGGCCCCGCGGTCGCTGGTCCTGGAGCAGATCGGCCAGGAGCATGTGGACGACCTGCTGGGGCTGTTCCGGCGGGATCCGCCGGTGGTCGGGCAGACGCTGGCCCGGCTGACGGGCCTGACGCCGGGGGCGGCCGACGACCTGCTGAAGCGGCACCTGGCCCCGGACGAGTACCGGCAGCTGCCGGGGCTGGAGATGGCCGTGTCGCTGGCCCGGCTCCGGGAGCTGCTGACCGTGGCGCCGACCCTGCCCCTGGAGCAGATGGCCCTGCTGCTGAGCGCCTCCTGGCAGGCGGTCTCCCGGGCCATTGGCCAAAGCCTGCCGCAGTATCAGAAGCTGCTGCCGAGGCACATCGGCGAGCAGCAGATCGCCCGGCTGCAGGAGATCCTGGCCCGGCCCGGGGAGCCGCCCTCCCCGGAGGCCATCATGCAGTATGCCAAGATCAGCTCCACGCAGCTGCAGCATGTGGGCCCGCATGTGGACCCGGGGTTTGTGATCCGCGCGCGGGGTCCCCTGTCGGAGCATGCGTAGGCCATCCTCCACGAGCAGGTGGCCGCCCGGCGCACCGTGGCCAGCCTGGCCTCCATGACGGGCATCGATGGCGCCGACATCCGGTGGTACCTGCGGTACTACTCGCCGACGACCCTGGTCCCGGAGTCCAACTGGACCCCGCTGGGCGAGGCCCCGGCGGAGCTGCAGTATGGCCGGCTGACCCTGCACCAGTATCTGACGCAGCGCCTGCCGGAGGGGTCGCCCGTGGCCGCCCTGGCCCGGGCGGCCATCTTGCCCGTGGGTGACAAGGGCCCGGCCCCGGCAAGAGTAATGGCATCGGCGCCGGCAACAGTAATGGCATCGGCATCGGCGCCGGCATCGGCATCGGCCCCGGCCCCGGCATCGGCCCCGGCATCGGCCCCGGCATCGGCCCCGGCATCGGCCCCGGCATCGGCATCAGCATCAACATTAGCGCCGGCATCAGCATCAACATTAGCGCCGGCACCGGCATCAACATTAGCGCCGGCACCGGCATCAACATTAGCGCCGGCACCGGCATCAACATTAGCGCCGGCACCGGCATCGGGTCCGGTCACTTCCGTCACCTGGCCACTGGGTGTCGTGCTGCTTGGCCTCCGGCCGATGCCGACACCCACCGAGGTGGCCGCACATGTCGGGGGCCTGCCGCGGGATATCTCGTCCTTGCGGCTCCAATGGCCGGAGATATACCATCCGAAGTCACGCTCGGCACTCTCGCTGTCGAATGACGAGATTCGGGCCCTCCGGCGCCTGGGCGGCGAGGTCCACCCGGCCGGCGGGCGCATGCGCCACACGGTCCGGGAGATTGCCCGGGCGATGGACCTGCCGCCGGATCGCACGTACTGCCTCCTGCACCGGTACTGCCCGGAGTACTTCTTCCTGGCGCTGCCGGCGGAGGCCGGGTCCGGGCCCGGGGGGATGTACGTGCCGGAGGGCAAGCTGGGCGAGCTGGTGTCGGCGGTGATCGGCCGGCACCCGGCGCCGATCCTGCACCAGGTGGCGGCGGATCTGGGGTGTGCCCTGCCGCAGGTGGTGAACTCCCTGCGGGCGCATGCCAGCCAAGCCGGGCTGCCCTTCAAGGTGCCCTTCTTCGCCAAGCACAGCACGTTCCGGCGCTATGAAATCATCCAAGCGCGGAGGAGCTTCCCGCACGCTACCCTCCAAGAGCTGTCTCAGACTCTGGGCATCACTCGCCAGACCCTCGCCAGGGAGTTGGCCAATGCCGATGCCTAGGCCGAGGCCCGGCGCCCGGTCTCCACCCGGGCACGAGGCCCAACCCGATAGATACACGCACACGCACACGCACACGCGCGCACACATGCCAGGGAGATGTTGGTGGCCCGCCGCCCCCGGGAGAGGGGGTGTCCGCTTGACCGCGGAGAGCATCGGGGCCGGGCGCGGGACGGAGGGGGGGGGGGGGGGCAAACGCGCGCGCATGCACGCACGCGCACGCCCGTGCGTGGGCAGTTGGTGGGCATCAGCGCGCAGGGGACCACCCAGCCGGGTGGGAAAAAGAGGAGCCGGGGCGCCCTTCTCCGGCCGGGCTGGGGCAGAAATTCTTCTCGGCCCCTCCCCCCCCCCCTCTTTCTTTCTCGCGTCCCCCCCCCCCTCTTTCTTTCTCCTCCCTCTGGCTGTTCTCGCCCCTCATCCAACACACCACCATCTTTGAAGCATGCTCTCGCGCGCTCGGCTCGGCCTGGGCATCGGGGCCCGGGCGACGGGCTTGGGTGCCCGGCCGGGGCATTTGGCCGGGGCTCCGGCCGGCGTCCTCGCAGGTGCCCGGTGCCGGGCCGGCCTGACCGGCGCCGCGACATCACACAGCCCCCCGGCGCCGGGCTCGGCCGAATGGCCAGGAAGCCCCTCGCGCGGGGGCGGCCAGCCCGGCGCCAGGGCCGGGCCCGCCCCCACGGCCACCACCCCCTGGTACGTGGGGTCCGTGTCCGCCGGCGAGCACCTGGTCCAGGCCATCAAGGATGGGAAGACCCCCCTGCCGCAGGGGTTCGACTCGGTGGAGGACTTCCACCTGCTGCTGCGGCTGGCCGGGACGCCCGGCAGCAACCGGCCGCTGGCCGACGATGGGACCATCGGCCGGCTGCTGGGCATGGACCGGCTGTCGGTGCAGGCCCTGCTGGCCCGCTACGCCGGGGTGTATGGGATCCCGCCGCCGGCGCGCACGCCGCGGCCGAGGTCCCTCATCCTGAAGGACCTGACGTGGCTGGTCCAGCGGGACCCGCCGGTTTTCGGCCGGCTGCTGGGCCGGCTGCTGGGCCTGTCGGCCAGCCAGGTGGAGCAGCTGCTGGCGAAGCACCTGCCGGAGGTGGACCCGGCCAGGGCCGAGCATTTGTGCCTGGCCCGGCTGCGGAAGCTGGTGACCGTGGCCCCGGCGTTGTCGGTTGACCAGCTGGCGCTGCTGCTGTCGTCCTCGCGCGACCGGGTGGCCCTGGCCGTGCAGCAGCACATGCCGGAGTACGGGAACTTCGTGGTGCCCAAGGTGCCGCCCGGGCGGCTGGCGGCCCTGCGAAGGGCGCTGGCCGACCCGGCGGAGCCGCCCCTCTCGCACGTGGAGATATGTGCCCGGGTCGGCATCAGCAAAAGCACCATGGATCTCCATGGCCCGGAGCTGCATTCGGAGTATGTGATCCGGCAGTATGGCGGCCTGCGGCCGGAGCAGCTGCGCCTGCTGGTGGACCTGCTGCTGGAGCGCCAGTGGAGCATCGCCGACATGGGCGTCGAGCTGGGCATGCCGGCGAACCGGCTCCGGTGGTACATCAAGCACTACTACCCGAAGGTGGTGCTGCCGCTGCGGAATTGCCAGCCCGTGTGGCAGCTGGCCCCGCCGGAGGACTTCGGCCAGCTGACCCTGGCCGAGTATACTCGGCGCTTTTTGCCGGCCGAGTCGCCGGTGCACCAGGCCCCGGACGATGAGACCCTGGCCCGGCTGGGCACCACCTTGGCCACCAGCAGGGACTGTGACCCTGCCTCCGTCAGCAACATGGTCCCCTCGTTCGACCCGGATGCGCATGCGACCGCCCCGGGTGGGGACTTGCGCCTGCTGGCCCCGAACTTTGATCGGGGCTTCCGGCAGCGGCTCCGGGCCCTGGTGGGCCTTCGGCCGCCGCTGGCCGACACCGAAATGTCCACCCAGCTGGGCGTGCCGGTTGCGGTCATCGTTCGGCACATAGTCACCCCGGAGTTGGGCCAGCTGGAGCATGATTACCATACGGCGCTGGCCCTGGGGACGGAGGAAATTCTGGCCCTCCGGCGCCTGGGCAGCGAGGTCCACCCGGCCGGCGGGCGCATGCGCCACACGGTCCGGGAGATTGCCCGGGCGATGGACCTGCCGCCGGATCGCACGTACTGCCTCCTGCACCGGTACTGCCCGGAGTACTTCTTCCTGGCGCTGCCGGCGGAGGCCGGGTCCGGGCCCGGGGGGATGTACGTGCCGGAGGGCAAGCTGGGCGAGCTGGTGTCGGCGGTGATCGGCCGGTACCCGGCGCCGATCCTGCACCAGGTGGCGGCGGATCTGGGGTGTGCCCTGCCGCAGGTGGTGAACTCCCTGCGGGCGCACGCCAGCCAGACTCGGCTGCCCTTCAAGGCGCCTTCCTATGGGCGACACCCGTGTGCGCGTGTTTTCGAACTCGAGCAAATCAAGAAAGAGAAGCCCGACATCTCTCCTAGCGCCATCTGCCTGCTGGCCAACATCAACTCAAAGCAACTGATTGAATGCCGGCCCTTCCTATAGACATGAACCACCGTTCGCTGATGTCAGCATGTGTGCCTGTGAAGCCATGTTTCTGTGAAGCCATGTTTCTGTGTGCATGTCTATGTGTGTATGTGTGTGTGTGTGTGTCCGTGCTCTTGTGGTGCCGTGTTTGTATGTGTGCGTGTATGCTTTTCTTATTCCTCCAAGTGACCGCCTAGCTGCAGGGGCCGATGTCCGCGGAGGGGACGGTCCTCGCGTCCCGGGCACCGCCCTGTGTGCTGTATAGTGGGAGGGGGGGGGGGGGCGTGTGTACGACTTGGCGCCCGCGGGAGGAGACAGGTGGGTGGACGTCGCCGGCAGTGGCCGGGGCGCGCCCCCCCCCCCCCCCCCCCCCGCCCCCCCCCCCCCCCCCCCCCCCCCCCAAGCCAGCAGACGAAGTCGGTGCGAGCTGGGAAAACACCCGCAGATGCCAACGGACCTGTTCACGATCAACAACACCGACGCCCCCTCGCCGGAGAGGCGCACGCGCAGCCGGGCCTTCGAGCTGAGCGGCAACTGCGCGGTC